CTGGTGTGAGAAACTGAAAGTGTAAATAAGAATCAAAATGTATAATAGATAATATGAAATAGGAAGGCAAAGTCTTAAGGGGAAGGAGAGTTGGGAAGGGTAGGGGAAAGGAAAGAAGAGAAAGGAAAAATATGAGAAAAGGAAAAAACAGAAACAAAGTTTTGCAAATGGGGAGGGGTGGCAGGGTTGACGAGAGGACAGGGGAATGGGGAAAAAAATAAGAACCTAGATATGTAATGTAAAGGTACAAATTCCCAATGATGAATGTCATCATATTGTATACCTAAAATGTACCAATAAAATTAATGAATAAAAAAAAATAAAGTCTAGGCAAGTATGATAAAGTTTTCTATCCAATGGGAAAGAAAATATATCCTTTGTGTCACTACAAGAATGTTATTTTTCTGTTATTCTTTGGTCTTATTACCTTTTAGGTGGGATCCAGTAGGAGAACAAGTAGGAGAAGTATCACCTCCAGATTAGAATCAGTGTACACTGTATTAGGTTCTGCTACTTGAAACACAAACCAGTCACAGAACATGCACTCCAAAGGAAGAAAGGATAAAGAATTATTAGGAAAACAGAATGAATGGGATTTCCGAAGCACAGTTTAAAATCAATGAGCTCCCTGGTTTACTTACACCCTCACCAATGATTCTTTATGTGTACTGCACTGCCATATGGACTTTTATAAAAGTACAGTGTTTGTTATCCATAGTATAACAGTCAAATGGGGATACCCCAACACAGCAGTTGGTGTTCCATTATTTTAGGTCTCCATTGGCCTGCAAATGCATGGGAAGTACATTGTACCCCCATAAGATTGTGTTCATTATTGTGTTGTTGGGGAAGTAAGGATTTTCCTCAGGAAAAATGAAGTCCTATACAGTATTCAACTAAGTTAATAGAATTTTCTTTAACTGTGGCTATGGAAGTCCTAGCATCCATCAAGTGCCATATATTTGCTCCTCTAGGCAGCAAGCTGTTAGCATAGTCTTGTACATACAAAAGATCTGTCTTAGTTACTTTCCTTGTTCCTGAGACAATATATGAGACACTCAAAGTTAAAGAAGAAAAAGTGTACTTTTGGTGCACAGTTTGTAGAGGTTTCAGTACATAATTGGTTACCTCAAAAGAAGGTTGGCATGGCAGAGGCATATACAAAGGAGAAATAGTTCATAACACGGTCTCTGGCTGCATGCACTTAGCTATGCCTATTCAAGAGGAAGATGACTTTTGCCACGGTTACCACTCTTCATCCAGCTACATGTCCAATCTGTACCCCCAGACTTATGTCTTATTTTGGACTGTGCATTTGGCCGTGTTGCTCCTCCTGCCTCACAGAAGTCATCCCTTCTCCAGACTGAACCCTGCTCACTGTGCCAATTTTGTGAAGCAGGTTGACTGTGCACTGATAATGAACTCCTGATTCCAGAAAGACAACACACTTATAAGCCACGTGCTAAGGAAGCAGGTTTATTACTTGGACATAGAAAACAAGGCACAAAAGAAGCCTGGGATTCATTGTCAGCTTTACTGCAGAGCTCACACAAGCTGCCTGGGAAATCAGAGTCTCCACTGCATATATCCTACTTTTACTGCAGCTGAAGGAACCCATAAAGCATCCAACCCTGGGTGTTATACAATGTGATATGCTGGGCTTATACCTGGAAGGACATTCTGTCCTAAGGTAGAATGGAGTACGTTCCGGGGTGTTTGGTCCTGCTGTTGCTTCTCTCAAGATGATGCATCCCCAGCAGAGTCTACAGTTACTCTTGAGAATTACAATCAGGAAGTGTCTGGAGAGCTGGCTCAAAGCAAAGCCACTCAGAGAACTGTCCTGAACCCCATAGCAGGTGTTAAATAGCAAATGCTCTCTCCCATTCTGTAGGTTGTCTCTTCACTGTATTCATGGTTTCCTTTGCTGTGCAGAAAGTTTTGTTTTCTGTTTTTATTGTCAGTGCTTTTGTGCTCATATCCAGAAAGTTACTGCCCAGGCCAGTGTCAAGAGGCTTTCCCTTGTGCTTTTTAAGAGTTTGACAGAATTTGACATTCTCTCTTGATAGAAATCTACACAAAGTTAATATGAAGGAATATATCTCTGCACAATAAAAGCCATATATGACAAATTCACAGCTCACATCATACTCAGTGGTGAAAGGCTGAATGTGTTTCCTTTAAGATAAGGAACAAGACAAGGATGGGCACTCCTACTATATTTCTTCAGTATGGTACTGGTTTTCTAGTCACAAGATTTAGGCAAGAAAAAGAAATAAAAGACTTCTCAATTAGGAAATATTTGCTAAAGCCATCACTGTTTACAGAAGACATAATGTCATATATATAAAAGTCTAAAGACATCAACAAAAATATGTTAAAACTACTAAAGAAATTAACTTAAATTGCAGAAACCAAAGTCAGCATTCCAATATTGCTTGTGTTCATATACACCAGCAATAAACTATCTGAAAATAAATCAAGAAAGTGATTTCATTTATAACCTCAAAAATTAAAATAAAATATTTAGAAATATATTTAACCAAGGAGATGAACAATCTGTGCACTGAACTCTATAAAAGATTGATAAAATGAATTAATGATGACACAAATAAATGGAAGGATACCCTATGTTCATGGTTTAGAAAACTTAATATTGTAAAAATGTGCATGCAAAGCCATCTATGGATTCACTGCAGTCCCTATTATAATTCCAATGATGTTTTTCACAGAAATTGAGAAAATAATTGCAAAATTCTTGTAGATCTGCTAAAAATTCTAAATAATGTAATCAATCTGAACAAAAAGAAGAAAGCTGAGGGCATTGCACAGCCTTATTCCAAATATGCAACAAAACTTTACTCATAATATAGTATGTCACTGGCATTTAAAAAGACCAGAAATTAATAGGATAGGCTAGATACCCAGAAATGAATCTATATATTTATAGTCAATTGATCTTCAACAAAGGTGGTAAGACTGTACAATGGGGAAATGACAGTCTTTCACAAATAGCACTAGGAAAATCCTATGTTCACATGCAGAAGAATGATATTGAGCCCTTATCTCATACCACACCCATAAATCCACTGAAGGCTTAAATCAAAAGCCTGAAATTGTAAAACTACTGGAGATGTTATAAAGCTTAATCCTCAAATTGTGAAAAATATGAGGACCTGGCTCATTCAGGAACAACCTGCACCTTTGTGCTGATGTCTCAGGACTCAAGAGACCATGACATGACTGGTTTGTAAGCTGATGCAGGCATTCATTCAGTATTTTAAGGAACATGAAAAAACTCAGCATCCTTTGTATTCCTACTCCCTAGTTCTTTCTCCTTACAATTTTCCTATTTCAAAGTTGTCCAACTTTGACTTCTTTGTCACCTCACTGCTACACAAGAGTGCTAATTTTCATAGTTCTGATTATGAGGTATGATTAGAAATTATAGCTCAGTGTTCTCATCCTTTTTCCATTCTCCTGGTCTCTTTGAAATTCAGTCATTAGAGAAAACAGCAATAAAATCTTGTAAATGAATCAATGTACAAATGAATGGATGAATGCTGTGATTTGTTTAAAGAGTTCCTGGAGGATGAAGTTAACAAAACAAATATTGACCTTCACTACCTACTCACATAATTTAAATATTAATGGTGAATTCAGGCAAATTTTTTTCAATCATGGTTTAAAATGAGTTGATCCATGTCCCTTCTGTTTTGTAAATGAAACTAGGAGATGATTGTTGCATAGCACATTATCACTTCATATAGATCACGAGGCAATTAATGTAGAGAAAACCTATGAATCAACTTTCTGGATTTGATGTAGTATCTCCCATTTCTGGGAAGACCCTTATATGGTGAAATCTGCTGAGAGGTTAGTAAGCACATTAGGATTGAGATGACAAAAAAACAAATGTCAAACTGCAGGCAAACACTGAGAGTAAATTTAAAATATTTTGAAATTGGATTATCAAGGAAACTCAGAAGATACAGTTCAATTTCTACAGCACCAAATGCACTCACCATGAAGAAAAGCCACAGAACAGAGGAAGCAATGCCACACAAATAGCAGCATCACAGGGACCTCAGAAAGTCGAACATTGCTTGTGCTAGGTAATGAATTCATAAGTGGTAATGAATTCTAGCTCATTGTAGGGTGAATCAGGCTGATGTGAGTGTGGATCCCATTATCACAAGGAAGCAAATAGGTTGGGAGATAATAAGTTAAAATACCTTGCCAGTCATGTAGCCTTCATAAAAGTGATTAGCTCTACCAATTCAAAATAATAGAATAAATAAATCTGACTCGATTAATTCTAATACTTCTGATTATATTAATAATCAGTCAATAACATAAGATGCAGTTAACTTACATACTTTCAGGGGAATATTGCTAAAAGTTTGATTGAATGCCAAAAATTTAAGCAGTAGGAATGATTTACAGTCCAGATGATAGCTTTTTCCTTCTTTGAGCAAAGAAGCCTAGAAATATGCTAATTTTATGTGAAGCAAATGAAAAAGTAGCAGAATTTAGACTGAGAAGATCCAATTAATGTATGGACAAAATCTGATTGAAAGACATTGGCTTCATTTAGCATAACACTCTTCTCCCTGCAATTGTCATTCCAATTTTTCTTCTTTCTGCTGTCTCCTCAGTCACCACTACCATTCTTCTGTCTGCCTTGAAACTGTCACACCTATTTTACCTGTAAGCATATTTGTGTTTTAGTACTCTACTGTTACTGATGTATGCTTTTAGCTTATCAGGAAGAATAATTTGTACTTAATGAGAATAATAAAATGAATATCTTCACTTTAAAATTACTGAAATTACTCTTAATTTCTTAAAGTTACTCTATAACCTTTATTCTGATTTAAGCTTAGGTTTATCTCAAATTTATATCATTGTTCCATTCATTAAACCTCCCAAAATTCAAAATATAAATTTCAGATTGTAATTCAAACTAAATAATTATATAGTCCCCTATTTTCTCTGTAGATTTATAGATTTTCTTCTAACCAACTAATATATTTATCTTTTATTTTAAAGCCTATCGGTAAGGAAAATGTTACGCCAAATGATAAACCCCCATGGAATCCATCTTCTATATGGTCATGAGTAACTAGAATACCAACGTTTTGAAGTTGTATGGCATAAATTAGGCCATCATCTCTTAGTATATCATGTTGACAAGTGAGGATGTAAGTTAATGGTAATTTCTGTAACTCTGAATCACTGAGTATCAAAGGCGATATTCTACTATCAACAAGAAATGGATATGAACCTTTAAGTTTTCCGAAAATTGGTTCAGTGTAAACATGGTTCTTTTTATACTTTTCAGGAAGGTAGACACTCCAGTTGACATACTTGAGCAGATGTCTGGATTCTTCAGTCATATGCTGGTTTTTTAACATTGCCTGAGGCAGTGCTTCATCCTTAGTCAAATATAGGCAAATAAGTTTAATAGCTGTTTCTTTTGTCAAAATTAGGCCATGTTCATATTCTTGATGAGAGGGCATCAAGGTCTCAATTAGCTGTAAGGGAGGGTAAATTAAGGCTTGTGCCTTAATTTTACCTTTGAATTCTGGATCATTCTGTAGCTGAAAAAATTGTAATAAAATATTACTCAAAAGTTTTCAAAGTATAGGAATAGAATGCTTTACTTCAATTATCTGAGATAAACAAATTTATAAAACTGACTGAAAATGTACTACTTTTACAATATTGATACATTATTTTAAAGATCTGAAAAGGTACCATTTCACTTTCATCAGTAAAGAATCACACATACACATATACATGAATGTGCACATGTGTGCACATTTATTTACATATGAACACCAAATAGAAGTATAATTGTTGAAATATAATTGTGAGATTTCCAGAGCAGATGACAAGACATCTAAGTTTAAAGAATTTTGTATAAAGTAATCAAAATGGACAGAAAGAATAAATATAATAACAAAATATTTATGCCAAAATCCACATATTAATCAAATTCAAAATAGAAATGTACCAAGTTAAAGAAAATACTTCTACTTTACAGTTCATTTTGAGAACAAATTACTGTAGTATGGACAAAGCAAGTAGAATAATTTATAAAAAATTAAGAGCAAGAACAGGAAACAATGTAGTGCACTGTATTTGTGGCCTCTTTTACCAGAGACACCCATACTGAGTTCTTGCTTACATGGTTATTTCTCTTTTTATTTTATTTTTTTTTGTCCTGCACACTGTAAGAGAGAACCTAGAATTGGCTCCCAGAAATAAGTACCCAGGCTATACATCAGCTGTTGTAATAATGATATCTGGGGAAATAGGATTGTAGGTGTATCCAAGGTTAAAACCTCAATAAGTAGTATACTGGTATTAAATGAGGCAATTAGTTGAAATTTCAATAGTACATCACAAGGGGAAATATCTGATCAACACCAAAATGCACACTCAACATAAAGTATGCCTTAAAAGTTAAAAAGAAGAGGAGAAGGAGAAGAAGGAGGAGGAGGAAGAAGAGGAGGAGGAGGAAGAGGAGGAAGGGGAGGAGGAGGAGGAGGAGGAGGAGGAGGAGGAGAAATACAATGTTCTGTACCAAGGAGACTCTCTTCTGGGCTGAAGATTCCTCCCCAGTGCCCTAAAACTGAAAATTTATTTAAAAAATGAATCATCGCAGAAGTTGAGGGCAAGAAATAATAGTGACCACAGAAACAAAACGAGACATTCACCTTATAGTTTCTCAGTCTAGTAGGAGTGATTTCCCAAGATGAGTTAGAAGATTCTGCTGGTTTCTGTGGTATTTGAGGATCATGCAAACAATTTTTCCTTTCCAAATTGTATTCAAATACAGAACTTAGAAATTAAATGAAGACATGAGAAATACTGGGAAATAAGCAAGAATAATGGCTTTCTCAGTAAGAGCTTAATGCAAAGAGAACCAAAGGAGAGATTATCTGGGCCTACAAACGTTAATGTTGCTGTGGTGTCTTGAATCCACTGTGCGAAAGCTACTGCTCTGAAGTGACAAAAATATCTGTTCTTACTTACAAATACTCACTGAAATCACTCTCTTTACTACAAAGCCCCAAACAGTGCTTCTAGGGCATGAAAAGGCCACTGGAATATCAACTGTCAAATCCTTCAGAGTTCCTCTGATGACCAAGACCTCCCTTTAGGGCTTCTTTTTCACTCAGCAGGATCCGCATAGGAGGTTTCACATTGCCTATGTTAACCTAGAATATTGGAAACATTGGGAGCAACAGTTGCAGACCTTTCTTGTGCAAGTCAGACAGATGACAATGCCTAAACCAAAAAGCAGCATATGTTAATCTCCAGGACCTTAGAAGGGGAGAACTGTCAGAAAAACCTTTCCTATTTCACAGACGTTTTACATCTGACATTAGTTACATGGATGAAAGCAGGTCTCTGCTCTGCGGGAAGCCTATCTGCCCCAATTTTCAGACATTAAAATCTTGTGCAGACACATAAATCTCTATATCCAAAACCAAACCTGGTGTCAAAACCATGGAAGAGAAGGACTTATTTTGGCAAAGGATAGGTACTATTCAGTTAGAATATTATATGAAATTGCAAAGGAGAAAATAATACAAATTGAATCTGCCATGATTCAAACTACTTCTAATTGTTTTTATAGGCAGCACTGGTAGAGTATGTGTCCTCCTCGGAGAAACACAATAGCAGGGTGGCAATCACCAAGCCTGGGCATACTTGTGACACTAAGTGTGGTTGCCGAAGCAGGATGTAAGGCATGGTAGAAGGCAAAAACAGAGCCTGCTGAATGGTAGGTACAGTGCTGGCTGAACAATCCAAGAATTACAGAAGGTAGCTGAGCTTAACTCTCTATGTGGTGCTTTTTGCCTCACACTTCCAAAATGTGCCCCTAATCATTGCTGATGTGTCAAATTAGTAACTTCATTTTGTCACAGACACTTCAATCGTGATATCCCTATGTACTCAACTTGTATGCTGACAGTATTCAATGTTCTCCACTCCCTCTCTGGCTTCTTCAAGATTGCAGTTAACTAGAAACTTTCTCGATAAGCTGATAGATTATTAGGAATCTTTGGAATTTTGGGTTTTTTTATTATTTTAGTTTATTAGTACATGTGAGTAGTACATGACTTTTATCTTTCTCATGTGAATTGATACAATCTGAGCATAAAGCAAGACACTTTCCACATCTTGATCTTGAACTTGTACCTTCCAAATTTATGAGAAAATAAATCTCATAAATAAATAAACTGGTACATGATATTATCCAAATTTGGTAATTTTGCTTCAGCCACAACCCATCTTTATTACTTTCACATGAATCTCTCCATTTATTTTAGTACACATTCAAATTATTCATAAATATGTATATGCTGATTGAACACAGAAACACCTAACAAAAATAATCACTTCTTCTTCTAAACTCAGAGAAATTAATTTTAAGTTTAATCAGACCAGTTCCCATTACTCATATTAAAAACCATAAAGCTGTATGCAGTGTTATGCAAGGTAGTTCTTTATTCTTCCCACTAGGTTTTGAATTCCTTTATTCCTGACAATATTTCTGAGTCACCACAATACTATCATCTTCTTTCTACCTATTCATCATTTTTCTATTTTCTCATTATCTATTTGAATATATATTAAATTTATTTGTTAGATTTATTTCTATTATACATTTTTAAATATTTGCTATTACTATGAGATAAATACTCTGTATCACATACAGGATCTATATTATATATAGAAGATACAGATGTTATATATATATAGGTATATATGATATATGGAAGGCAACATATATACAGTAACAGGAAGAAAATGACAGGATGAGTTAATTAATGCTATTCATTTTATTAATTTTTAAACAAGATAGCATTATATCACCTTCCTAATCTGAAATATTTATTTGAAAAGCAGCAACAAGTATACAAGTAGCTTCCTGAAATGACCCTTGCTTATTAAAGTACACATGGCATAGGTTTGTATCTTGATGACATACAGACTAAAGAGCACAGACTAACCAGAATGCAGGGGTGCAAGGAAGTAATGGCACTGAACCACACCAAACACTAAGGAGGGAATGGAGTACCTCATGAAAAGAGCATGGACATCAAACACTCTGATGTGCATTTACCACCTCAGCAACAACTAATATGTATATGAGGGTACAAAAACGATTTATTAACCTGGATATTTCATTACTTAGAAAAAAACTAGGAAAAAATGCAAACTATATTCAGCACATCCTAATCTTGCTGTCTTCACAAAACTGAAATTGTTGAATTAATATTTTAGTATTTTTTTATTATACTGGGTACTTTTTAGTAACTCAGAATATAAGAGGCTGGTGTCATATTAAAGACAGGCCCTTTTTATTCTGAAATTTCTCAAAGGATTCCAATTTTAACACACTAGCTTTGGACAATTCAACTTTCTTATAAAGGAATCACTGCTACTTATTGAACCTATCCAGTTTTAATCTCTTATACTTTATATTAGTTGTTGATCATATTATTCAGGTTTGTGTTATCAAAAATGAGTTTAGGAAGACAAAATTAAAGATTAATTCTCCACAGTAGAGCTGGGTTCAAGATTGTGTACCAAAAGCACTCATGGGCAAGTAGCAAATTCAGTTCTCAGAAGGATGCTTGGTTTAGCTCAGCTGTTGCAGCCTTGAGATTCTAAATAATTCCATCTTTTAACTTGATTTTTGTAACTGATAAGACAATGGTACATGCACATGAGCAGAAGAGTTAACATGTGTTTCTCTGACATTTGCATACAAAGTTCACAATTGCCAAGTGGTTTCCACAACATACTTAATTTTATTCTCTTTGACTATTACAATACTCTCAAGCATCATGGATCCACAAGGATGAATCCAACTATGTTCCATATCAGCATATTTGTTGTTAAATAAGCAAAGGTGCTGATAGTAGCCTTAAGAGGCCAAGCTTTCTTTACAACCAGAACTTGGTTTAAATGCAGAAGAAAAAAGCAATCAATTTACCCTAAGCATATCCTTTTTCAATCATGGTGCATCCTGCATTAGCCAACCACATATAGTGCAAATGATGATACAGACAAACGAGAAAGATAGGGTCAGCTATAGTTCCTTGTACTTTCAATCTGTCTCATTCATCAAGCTAAAGATAGAGAGTACTGGTGGAATGTGTGCGTATCAACTATAAGGTAAACAATTTTATGCACATTTACAGACTTTTGTTAAGAACAAAATGCATCTGTAAGCTGAAAAACATCAGTGATTCTGCATATAAGTGTATTTGTGTTTATGTTTAAAATTGGCATTGCACAACATGAATATGAATTGCAAAATTCAAGTTAATGAAATAAAATTTGAAATTTATTTTTCTATGTAATAATGATCTCCCTTATGGTTTATAAGGAAAAAGAGTAAATAAAGGAAAAGTGTTAGAGGATCTTTAACAATAGCATTTCTTAATTTTTGAAGAAGTGGTCCTGCTTTTCATTTGACGATGTACCAGTGACTTAGGCAACTCTCTAGTATTTGAAGTTGAAAGCAAAATTTACAGCCAAGTTACAGAAGATCTTCTACATCCTGACAGAAGCT